GTGTGTGTGTGTGTGTGTGTGTGTGTGTGTGTGTGTCAAGGGAGCCGAGACAAAAGAAGAGTGGACAGAGAAGAGCACAGAGGGAGCTGGATAGTAAAACAGAGTTTAATAGAGAATGAGAGATAGAAGAAAGATGTGGGGACAGAAGAGTTTTTTATATGAAGTAAAAGGTCAACTTTAACATATGGAAGGAATTTTTGCTCTGCAATGCTTTTATTGTTTTAACTGTGCATGCAGCCAAAGACAGCCCAAGTTATTGTAAGCTTTCTGCTTATCAATTCAGAGACTTTGCTTTCATTAATATTAAAGAACTGTTAACCTGTTGCACCGAGAGACGTGACTAAGTACATTTTGGATATTTTTTGTGAAACATAAAGTTAAACTGTCAACGTGCATCAATGATTTTTCAGGCTTTGCACCAATAAGTGGGATGTGCAGCAAGTATCGAAGCTGCACCGTTAATGAAGACACTGGCCTGGGACTGGCATTCACCATTGCCCATGAATCTGGACACAAGTAAGTGTTTCTGATACTTCACCTGATCGCACAACTATGAAACAGGTACAGTCAGGTACATAAATATTGGGACATTGAAACATTTATCATCTTTTTAGCTGTAAACACCACCATGATGTATTTGAAGTGAAACAAACAAGATTTGCTTTAACTACAAACTTAATGTGAAGGTATTTACAGCCAAATCAGGTGAACAGTGTACAAATTGCAACAGTTTGTAGATGTGCCTACAACTTATTAAGGGACCAAGAGTAATGGTGCAAGACAAAACAGACTTTAGCATAGCTCATCTAGCAGTGATCATGCTGTGGCGAAGTTTGATCCCCTATTCCATCCTTCCCAGTCTTTGTGTCCTTGGGCAAAACATTCACCTGTCTTACCTGCTGGTGGTGGTCATGCACTGGCTCGGTGGCACCAGCACATGGCAGCTCCGCCACAGTCAGTCTTCCCCAGGGCAGCTGTGGCTAATAAAGCTTTCCATCATCGGTGTGTGAATGAATGGGTGAAGTATGAAGCACTTTGGAGTTCATAGAAACTTGGTAAAGTGCTATATAAGTTCCTTCACCAAAGTAACAATCTAAAGTCAAACTTTCACTTTTTAATACTTGGTTGCAGATCTTTTGTTGTCAATTTCAGCCTGAAATCTGGAACATGGAGATCACCAGACACTGGGTCATGCTTAGAATTGTGTCCCAATATTTATGGACCTGACTGTAGATGTTCATAATATTGGCTAAAATAAATGAGTGTGTGACCCAGATAGAGTTAAACAATGAAAAATGTATTTCCTAACTGATGATGGACTTCTTACTTGCAGGAATGCACTTTTTTGGTTTTCCTTTCATGGTGAAGATATCATTTTGGGAAAAAAAATATTTTGTTACAAAAAAAACATTGGTATATGAACAAAAAAACTGTCATAATAAGTAATTAGTTACACATTTCTTTCTCCAGCTTTGGAATGGTCCATGATGGTGAGGGTAACGTTTGCAAAAAGTCAGAGGGCAACATCATGTCTCCCACATTAGCCGGTCACAATGGTGTCTTCTCTTGGTCTCCTTGCAGTCGTCAGTATCTCAGCCACTTTCTCAAGTAAGCTTTGGTTTTTATTTTTATGTACTAAATTACTTAGGGTACTTTTCGTTGAAAGGTGTTTATTTTATTTTATTTTTTTCAATACAGAAGCTACGTTGTGTGAAAGTATTGTTTTGTTGGCCAGTAAATGACTCGTCTTTGCTGCCTTTATGTGCTGATGCTGGAACATCAGTTTTAAATACTGATTTTATCAAAGTGGTAATGACTACATTTAGGATGCATTGTGTTTAGAGCATTCATTTTTTTATTTTATTTTATTTATTTTTTGTTATTATTAATTACTGTCAGGTTTGCATATAAAGCCAGGGAGCAGACAAAAATCCAGGAAACTTGATGCTCAAAAGAAACTGATTTATTACAACAAAATCAAAAAGTACTGTCGTGACAACATAATATACTCACAAAGAGAACTCTGGAAAACTCACAGAGTCACACTAGACTGACTCAGGGAAGTTCAGTGAATTGACAAGATGGATAAAAATACCATAACGAATACAAATGAGAAACACCTGGGGAGAGACACTTGGAACAGGTGAGCATGGGCGGAGCCAGAGCTGAGACAGACAGGAGAACTAAACTGATATGGGGAAGAAAGAAACACTAGAAAGACACAATAAATAAAAGACAGAAAAGAAACCAAACCCAAATCCTCACAATAAGCATGTGTTGTAAATAAATGTGCCAGCTATTTTACTAAATAACAAAGCTATCGTCTGAAGAATGCTCTTTGAAGAACTGTTGGGCAAATTATTGCCTGTTTGTGTGACACAGAGACTGAAAAGCACAATGGAGCTAGAACAGTAACCACTTTAACTGATTTGTGGTGTAGGTTTTCACCTTTGAGTGCTGTTTTACAGGAAGAATATTTATTATGTGCCAAGCTACATGTTGGTGTAAGTTTTCAGGAGTGATATAT